GGTCGAGGTTGTTGACTCCGTAGTGGTCGTAGTAGTGGTTGTTGATGCAGTTGACACCGTTGACTGTGTCGTAGTGGTGGTGGTGGTGGCTGTTGATGTTGTCGAGGTCGTTGACTCTGTAGTGCTTGTAATAGTACCAGTTGATGTAGTTGTGGTTGTTGGCTGTGTAATAGTAGTGGTGACTGTTGATGCTGTTAACTGTGTAGTGGTGAGCATTGATGTTGTCGATGTTGTTGAGTCGGTGGTCGTCGTAGTAGTAGCATTTGACGATATTGTGGTTATAAACTGTGTGGTAGTCGTAATGGTTGTTGATATTGTCGGTGTGGCAGTCGTCATTGCACTACTCATTGTAGAAGTTGTTGCTAAAGTTGTTGGTAAAACAAAAATCTATTTTGAAGCTTAAAGTTTTCACAGAAATATCATCTTACATGTCGAGAATGATAGGTCTAGAATTGAAAATAGTAAATCTTGAGAAGATATTCAAAGATAGCAATCTTACTTGTCACAGTTGAAGTTGTTGATGTCAATGCTAGAACAGAATACATGAATAAAATAGATGAAATTATACTAATCAAGGAAAAACTAATGGAAGGGTGAAGCATAAAAAGTACTAAAGAGAAGACAGATTAATATTCAGGTAGATGAAGACTTAAGATGAAAATAATTTGTTGATTAAAAATGTATAGATGGAACTTGTACTTCTTTTACCGCTATTGCTAGACCTAATTGTATTTGTTTTAGGTAAGGAAAATTTTAGAAGGTTTCAAAAATAATTTGATTTAATATTAAAATTTGTGATCGATGTTGTTCAAATCAATACGATCAGTAAAAAACGATTAAAAAAATATTAATATTTTCTGACCTTCACTAATCTTATAAATTACAAGTGCTATTGTAAAACTGAATAGTATAGGTACTACAAATATAGGGAATGTATACTTTCAAAGAAGAAAAGCAATGAAGTTTGTCTTGGAAATATTACTGATAGATTATCTTTACTAATATGGAATACAATACCACTAATAACAATAAATAATTAAATTAAAATAAGATAGATTTTACCTGTTGTAGATGACGATGAAACATTCGTCACCATGAATACTTGAATACAAAAATAAAATATAATATGAGAATAAATGATTTTGAATTTAACAAACCAGTTGTACTGGACGTTGTATTGATCAGAGTAGCTAAAAGTTAAAGATTTATAAACTATTTAGATGAATTTTTCTTCTTTTCTAACCTGTTACAAATAGCGGCGCAGAATTGGTTGCTATTTCATTCTGATTCATTTTCACTACCATTGGCACTCCAACAGCGACACCTAATATGATACCAGTTATGGTAGCAGCTAACGCTGTCAAAATAATCTTCTTCATTCTATTGTTAAGACGTTGTCTAAATCTATATAAATAATTGAAAACTATTATTCGCGAGTTAACTTTTATAAAGTGTGTATTATTCTCAAAAAACAAATAGTTTTTTTCTGAAAAGAAGATTCTACATTGAATTGTCATAATCAGTTTAGATGACTTAAAAAACATACCTGTTTCTACTTGGAATTGATTCAAGTTGATCCAAATTCGAATGAATTTGGCGTAGATGGACTTTCTATAAGTTTATATTAATTTTTTTTATATCAGTAAATATCACATATAAATACATACATCTTTCGATACTGAATTCTTGCCAGGCGCCATCCTATCCTAAAAAAAAAGTCAATGAATCGTCTTCGTAGATATGATAGTTGATTATTTTTAAAAAATGCACTTAGAAATTAATTTCTCTCTTCTTATATTATAAACAGTCACAAAAATGTATTGTGGTACCTTTTTATGTATAACTTATACAGTAAAGAAAAGATACCTACCATAGAAATGCAATGCTATTTTAACAATTAATGACTATGCAAACATTCATTTTTGTTAAAAAAATAACAATAATTGAATAATACTATAAAAACTAACATTTTAAGAACAATGTTACATCAGCTTCTTTGACTCATTTTTATATTAGTTTTTTTTTCTTTAAAATGTCAATAAATTAAGTAGCAAAGGTAATCTGTCTTTACTCAATTACTACTAATGATTCAAATGTGAAGCATTTTTAACTTTGCTTTACATCTATTCGATTAGTATAAATGAAATGCTACTAGTGCCTAGATTTTATCGCTAAGAAAACAAAACACTATAGAATAACTTGTACAAATAAGAAAATTGTCTTTTTTTATGGAGCATACCCGAAAATATTCTAATCATTCGAAATACATGTCGCACTACAAAAACGTATTTCGTCGATCTCTTTTAAAAGCTTCAGTTTGAGACTTTTGTCTTGTACTTTGATGTGGCCCGTCATTTCTTTAATGCTAAATGCACACAACCTGCTAACCGATGACCCACTTTAAATAAGAGAACTTTGCACTTCATATTTTAATCCCTAAATACATTGTATTACAAAAACAAACTACATCGGAAGATGAAGCATGAAAAGTTCTATAGTTTACATATGACAACTTATTTTACAGTTGTATTTATTTATTTTGAAAATCGACAAAATTCTGAGCACTCAAATTTTAACGCTGCAAAAATAATATTTTTTAGTGAAAAACAAATTCGTTTTTTCCTGATTTTATCTTTGCTTTACCTGATATCTTCTATTAAACAGAAAATAAAATATACTCCAAAATACAGCGTGAAAAGCTACACAATTTATACAGGACAACTTATTTTACAGTTGTATTTATTTATTTTAAAAATCGACAAAATTCTGAATGATCAAATTTCTGTATTTTTCGTATGCGACGAATACGTTTTTTTCTTATTTATCACCTGATACGTCTTATTTAATAAGAAACAGTTTATATTGCATATGCAGTTTTTGTTATTAAGAAAAAACAAAATTCTAGACGAGTATAATTTTCTAGGGTGCAAAAATTCTACACAACCGAATACTTCCTTTTTTCGTATTTCATTCTTTTATCACCTGATATGTTTTTTTCTAATATAGCCAGGCGAAAACAGTTTTGTAGTGCCTCATATATTATTTTATATGTATTAAATGAAGCTACAATTTCTTAGGTGTGTAAACTTTCATTAGAGCATGAATTATTTAGTCTTTTACTAAAAATAAAACCAATATTATATTTCTTCGAAAGATTTTTCTTCTCAAGTCATTGATTAAACATTCAAAATAATACCATTCAACATTTCATGTCTTAAATGAATTTTGTATTCCATTTCATATCGATAAAAGATTGTAAAAATCATCAAATGACCATCATAATTCTTTTTCTATATATAACAATTACACTAGGACATAAAAATGTATAAAGCGTTACTTAGGTACTGACATAGATATAGAGCAATTCGTACGAACAAAAAAAACTATATAATTATATACATATATATATATACTCAAGATGTTTCTAGTTCATCTTCTTCGTATGCTTCAAGTCCATACATTTTAAGTTGATCAAGAAAATCAGTTGTTGTCCAATTATTAATTAAATTTTGATCATTTAAAAGACGATAAATATTAGCTATTTGTTGCTTTTGTATTTCTTCTTCAGAACCTTCAATTGTATCAATTAATATATCATCTGTTGATTGTTCATTATTGTCTTCATTTTCATTATTTTCATCGTTATTTTCTTCTATATAAACCTCAATTTCTGATAATGATTCATCATTATTAATATTATTCGATTCATCTGTTGTTGTTATTATCATTGGTAATGATGATGTATTCGATGAATCTGTTGTTGATGGTATCATAATCGACTCATCAGATTGATTATTATCATGAGTGACATATGAACATGTAGTATCGTCTAGTGACATTTCTTCACGACTTAATGTATATTTATAAAAGGCTGATGCAAGAATTGCACAAAGAAATGAGACAAAAACGACAACAGCACTAAATCCCGAACTAACACAAAAATTTATTACAGCACACCTAAAATTTTACAAAATAAATGAATAGGACAAAAAATTTTGATTTTATATTTTAATACATACGATGCTGCCCAAACAAATTCACCAAGAGCAGTTATAATAAGATCCATTATTATAGTCTTGCTGTTGATAATTATAATTATCCATGTTTATAATCAATTACGAAAAATACTAGGAGGAATTACTTTATTATCTTTTATGGTAAAACTAGACGATTATATACGTTGTATTTAAAGAGAAAAAACAATTTTCATATGAAATTCATGCAGAAATAAATGAATAGTTAGTTCATTTAATAAAAGCAATAAGATGTTTTGCAAAGTAACTGTAAGGTGATGGTCTATACGAATGAACGATAGTATTCTATGCTTATACTCTTCTCTCTTTTTTTCCTTCTCTTTTTCCCTATGTAAAAACTCGTCGCCTCGAGTTACTCTCCTTGTGTCTTTACATTCCATGGTGAAGCATGCAATCGGGATTGAGTTTTCTTTGTACTTGTTAGAGTAATAGTACGACAATATGACAAGAAAAAGAAGAAAAAAGAGAACGAAGAGAAAAAGCATAACGCTGTTCGTAATATCGTTCTCGCCACAGTCTCTTCCTTTCTCTGAACACAATTACTCTGCTTACCTGATGTTCAGTGCTTTGTCGTGTAACCTTTTTCTATTCTATAACTTAGAATCAAGAATAATATTTTCAATATTTCATGTATTTCTTATAGAATTCGAAAGTAACACAAATCTTATTTTTTTCCTTTTACGAAAAAACGACATTTTCCTTTTTTGCAAGAAATGAGCAATAAATATTCTGTAAATTAAAAGGATAAGAGCTTGATTGTCTTTCTTTCCATTTCGCCTATTCAACAAATCAGATTGGCTGCCGACCAAACTAAAACTCAATTACGTAGAAAAATGCCGTTCTTTTTTTCTTCTTATTCTCGCACAATGTCTCGCTTTTTTCTTACTGTCGATTGTAAATCATCTGGCATACGACTAGTCTAGATGAAGCAATTTTTTTTTCTTGTTTCTGTTTTTTTACTTGTATAATTTTTCTATCTAACAAATGATTATTCTATAGTTGTACAGAAATGCAGTTAGTTTGTATGTGTAATAGTATGATTGAAAAGTTTGTTAATGTAAATAATGAAGTGCTATTGTATTCTGATTTTTTATCACGATCAGATACACATGCATTCGTGCTTAAGAGTAAATTTCCGTTCGAACTACTGTACCGATCTTCCTGTTCATTTAATGACTTGAATTTGAAATATATTCATCTAAGTGAAAAGTATTAACGAAGAGTTAATGCATTTGATAATTGATTTTATCAGTACAAAATAGGTCAAAAATATAATTGAAATATTTAGAAAAAAAAAGGACACAACATAACAATCGTAATCAATTTGTTTTATTATCACAAATTTTATCTATATATTCTTTATCAAGATTAAGTTTACGTTATCAATGAAGTAGAAAAACTACAATCATAACATCGTTAAATTATTCAATACCAATAAATGAATCGCACATATTCTGATTGATTCATAGTCAGAAGAAATTGTAAATATTTGGTTTAATTTAGCTATTGTCTTACTGTTAAGACAGATGTTTCAAATTAAAATGTAGTTTTTTATTCATAATTACAATATCATTTGTTTATAGTGTACGATGAAAAATGTTGTGTTAATAATATAACAATATACTGAAATTGGAAGATGATTAAAATTATTTTGAATAATATATGAATTTGATATAATACTCAATGTAATATTATAAATAACTAAGCGTTGTTATAATAAATTTACCAATTAGATAGAAATATAATTGATAATTATATATCGTATTTGATGCAAATAAAAAATGAAAAGAAATATAGTATTTATCATAAATAATAATTAAGCAACAGTATCAAGCATGAGAGAGCAAAACTATTTTTATTAGTAAAAGTTATTTTTGATTTAGATAAATATGCATTATATACAAAACATGTGTTGATCGTTCTTTATACAAGAATACTGTCAATATTGTTTATATAAGTAATAATCTTCTAGCTTATAGATATTATTACATCGAACAAATAAAGAGAAGTCGATAATGATATAAAAATATCTCTAGTATTATCGTAAAGTATTCATAAAAGCGAGTTCTTTTTTTATCAAATCTGTATGATTCCAACTATTATTTTTTTCACATGTATATGATAAATCCTAAGAAATTACATAAAAGGCATATTTTCTGAGAGACGAACAGAATAGTGCTTCTGTCTATAATAAATAATTTTCTAGTTGAATTGGAAATAAAATATGTTAAAAAAGAATCATCAAGTATTATTAACATTAGATTCCGAGGCATCATCATTGGTATATTAGATAATGAATTCATTTCCTATTTTAAATGGAATCCATCTGTATTAAAATAACCTCACATCACTTGAAAAATGAATGACAACGGTATTTCCTGAAACATTAAAGAAATGGAAATTGTTTTTGAACATTTTCGATATTTAAGTCTTTAAGTATCAAGTTTTCTTTTAATCGAAAAGAACACTTTTCAATCTTTTAAACAAAATGGCACTTTACAAGTGAAACACTCGATGCTGGATCAAAAATCTGCTTTCTTGGTGCTACAATAAATACATTTTTGTTTTTTTCCTTTCACAGATCAATACATTTCATTGTCAAACTTATCAGGACAGTTTTTGGTGATGTTAGTTTAGACTTCTTTTGCAGAAGGAGATCTTCCATAAAATATTCGTTCACTATCGGAGCAGTGAGACTTCGCCATTGGAATCATTTAGTTCAAGTATGTTAACTTGTCTTGAGCTAACTAATTTCAAGAAATGATTGAATTGAAAATAGATGCATTTAGAAAATAAATAGACAAGCGCAGCCAGTTCCTTTTAGACCTACGATCGAGAGTGTAATCTTTTACCGCTTTCGGACAGTCAATTATAATACGTTAACCATTTTTCAAACGATGAAAACTCGGAAGGATGGGTGTGTATATTCTTCTCATTCATTACTCACACTCACACCCTCAAGATCTGTTGATTACTACAGTGAAATTTTCATTTTTTAAAGGTTGATAAAGAGAATCAATATGACGACTATTAACGTCCTATACAGTACGAAGACGTGATGGAGAAAAAGAATAAGAGAACTTCAAATGGCTCAGCACCCGTTTCCATATTTGTCACATCATCTGAAATGCGCTACATACATCATAATAGATGACCTAAAACTACTATAGAAATAAGTATGTCAAGAATGTCTCTGAGATTTAACGATTTTAAGAATGTACACAGGCATACCCCACACTTTGTTTTTGTGTATATATTAGAAATTATCAACAAATCATCGTTGCATGCACGTTTATCATGAAAAACCGTTTCGCTATAGGGTCTTATTTGTGACTATTTATAAGTTTGACATTAGCGTAAGAGAAGAGCCTGTTGTATTTTTTTTCTTTACATGCTTATTACAGATGACGTTAGTGCAATATATAAAAATAAAATAATCATTATCAATCGTTACTGAACGCTAATGGCTTACTTATTTTTTCCCTAAAGCAAAACGGTAAGTAATAGATATATCAGTGATCACTGCACAAGTAGGTGATAGATGAAAAGTATAACCTTAATGTTTTCCTATCAGTTTTTGACATTCGTTTATATTTACAGTCATGACATCAGTTGATTTTACTTTAATATCAATAGTCTTTGGACATTATTTATCCGTAATTACGATCATACTATATGTATTTAGCCTATATTATTCGTATTGAATGTTGTTTATCTAGTAAAAATTATGATTCCATACTTGATTGAAGAAAGACAATACTTATGTATTTTTCTTTTTTCTTTTAGATTAATTTTTATTATAATTATTTTAACATTCCCAACAAAAGAAACAAGAAATTATAATTAAAATTAATTTGATTTAAAATAGAAGAAAAGATGTTTTACAAAATAATTTTTTTAGTTTTGTTATTCGTAACAGTTTCGGAAGCATTCTTTAGTGTTAAGATCTCTGCAATAATTAATCGACCAATAATTCATTCCAATTTAACATGCATGGATACTTTCAATACAACAGTTGTTGATTGTGAATATTGTGTTAACAGACATTATTCAAATGGTACGACTTCAGAGACACGATATGATTGTATTCAATTAACTAATACATATAAAACTATATCACAACGATGTCAAGGATTTTCTAATACAACTGATATTGGTTATGGAACATGTTTACCATATCCATATGAATTGTTGAATACATCAGTACTTTGTATTTGTGCTACAGATAAATGTAATACTGATTTAGCATCATGTAACAAATCAGTAACAAATCAAATTCAATCAAATTCAGCACCATCTGTCCTTCCTTCAATTATTCCAACCTTATCAACACCAATTTCATGTGTTGATACACTAAACCAAGTAAATATATCAACAGGTTCATACTATAATTGCATGCAATATGGTTCTTCTTATGTAAATTTAACAAAATGCCATGAATATATAGTTAATAATACAGTTTTATGTTGGTATTATGGTGTTGAAGCTTATTCTGAACCAATACCTTTGACCAAGGATATATACACACTACCTACAGTTGATTTGATTCATACAATATATCAATATATTCGATATAATAATTATACATACTTCTCTAATGAAAGTTCATCTTTTTTTTATATTAGCTCGAGAGAAACATCTGCTAATGCAACAGCTATGAACACATGTATATGTGCTCAAAATAATTGTAATTCAAATTTAATTACTTGTCTCACAGCAACCAAATCAATAGAAACACAAAATAATTCGACAAGTAAATTTTTTCATTTTCTATTTATAAAAAATTTCTAATAAATAAATTGGTGTTTTAGATAATGGAAATTCCGTTTCAACTAACATTATTATCAAGTACTCTATATTTTTTGTTTTTTCAAATGTATGCTTCAATATTTACTAAAAATATATTTCTATCCCATATTTTATTTGTAATGCTTTATTTATCACATAATTTTATTTTTCTCCAAATAAATTTCATTCCATTTATGACAGAGATCGTAGGACAAATGCAAAGATGCTGCAAACAGCCTTAGGCGATAGAAAACCGCCGAAGGCATCGCCATAACCCATCAACCCAGGACAATGACCCGTATTTTAGGACAGTAAGTATTTCAGTGTTTTAAATTCTCACTGTAACATCGACCTCACGTAATAAAATTCATCACTAATCTGTGATTCTACTTTAAATAAATTTTATCATTTCGAAGTAATAGTATTAAATGATGGCGCGAATATCATGCATTTTCTTTGTTTGTAACTATTTGAAATAATTACTCAGCGTATAATTTCTGTTGTAAATAATCGACATAATTTTCGTTATTTATTTCAGTAATATAATATGAATAATTTATCGATTGATTATTAAAAATGATGGAATGTGGTGATAAATATTCGACTTTTAAAATAGATGCTACTCAAACAACTGCATCACTTACTCAGATGGTAAACTAATTTCAAGAAGAAATTTCTTTCGACTATTAAACAAGTTGTTTTTATTTTAGAATTCTCCAGATGATAACACTTCTCTTGATATCTTATTTAGTAAATTAAATATTCCATTGAATTGTCTTGATAATTCTCATATTCGACAACATTATCTCGAAGAATACTCTGCTAAATATTCTAAAGCAAAATATTTATTAAGCAATGCTCGAAAGAAACAACGGAGTATATATACATATATATCTATTTTGAATTTCGGATTTGTTTCTGTTTAGAAATTATTATTAGTTATTATAAAGAAAAAGAAAAACAAGATAATATCGATGAACTACAAACAATAAAACAATCATTACTTGAAGAAAATGAAAAAATAAAAAGATTTAAAGAAGCTTTAAAAGATAAACTTCTTGTATATCAACAACGTATACAATTTCTTAAGGTATAATCAAATACTATTATATATTACCTTGAAAAAATATTTCTTAATAAGGATGCGGAATTTTGGTCAGCATTTGAAATTCAACAATTACAAAATAATACTAATGAATTATGTCAAGTTAATACAGAAAATCATCCTAGTCTTCCAGATTTACCTGCCGCCAATGATAGTCTCGATCTATTACATGGTAAAAAGACAAGATTTTTAATAATTTTATAGTTTTATTTCTAGGTCATGAACACACTAAATATCCCGAGTATGATTTATATATTTTCTTATTCTTTAAAGATTTTCATTTTGTTTTTTCAGCAATTTTCTCGATGATTCAAGTCTGAATAATACTGGTAGATTTCTTATTAGAAAAATATATATAGATAAGATAATTTGTTTTTCCTACAGATGATCATGATGATAGTAAACCCAGTTATCATGATTCATTTCTAATAAAAGATCATCGTTGTATCGATAATATTTTAAAATCACGAAAACAGTAAGAAAAAATTCTACATTCGGAATATTAAAAAAAATATATCGATAATTTTAGATCACATATGAAAGTAAGTTGATTGAAAATTATCTTTTATATTGTACAATGTGTAAGATATCGATTTTGAATGATTAATTTGACAAGTTAATGATTAAATACCCTACAAGAGAGAATAGTTTTACTATAATTATCTTGTAGTTGAAGATTTATTGCTGATAGATTGAGAAGTAAATGTCGTGTAAATGAACTTTAAGGCCATCGGATAAGAGAATAATCAATAATAGTCTACATCCTTGATCATATCTTTTCTATCTATAAATAATCATCAAAAGAGAAAATCTTTTAAACAAAATTTAAGCATTTGTTTTTGATAGACTAATTACTAATAAAAGTGATGTATATCAACCGATTGTAACATATTTGTTCATAATAGTCATTAAAATAAATTCAATTGAATATATTTAGATTGATAATTGTTCAACAATGAAAATTAGAATCAAAAATTATTTCCAATGGTTTAAAAATTTTTCTCAACTATTATATATATTCATATCAAATGATCGTTTTAAAATTATTAGGTTTGTAATTAAGCAAAAAAGAAAACATGGCATATTTCAAAGTCTTATTTTTACTATACAAAATAGATGTTTTTTTTTCTTATCTCGAGAAAACAATTATATAAATAGGATATATATACATGATTATTGTGACATTGAGATATATTGCCTTAGGATATCTCAGAGGTGTTTATTTCGGTTAATACTATTAAAATAAGATCAAGAAAGAAAGAACCGATGGATATATTTTATCGTTGTTGTGGTTTTCTTTTAGTATGATTTTAATGACAAGTCTTGCTATATTTTTTATTATATTTGTTAATGATTTACTTGAATATATTCTGATATATCTAACAAAAACATCCGGAAGAACTTCAACATTATCTTCTCCAGAATCAATGCCAAAATCATCATTCACAAATTTGTTATTGAATATTTATAATTGGACAACTTCATGGTTACTGCCATTCTCCCGTATATTCGAATATTCTGTATAATAATAAAACTATATAACTGCTGACACACTTATATCTGCTCGACTGTTTCTTACTAATTACATGTCAACCGTAGTAAAGTCTATAAGATATAAGATATTATATACAATATATTAAGATATATATATATATAACCAATGAGCTGTTGATTTCTCAAGTTCGTCTTCATCGTTACCATCTTGTTGATAAGTTTTTGCTACGATGGATATTATAAGCTATCTCTATCTTTCTATATAGATTAATACAATATATAGTACTCAATTTTTCCTACATTTGCTTGCTCGTTTTCTAAAGGTAGACCTCTGATGGGATTTTACGATACAATTCTGATAGACATTTATATACATCTGTTATTTCTATAACGTTGACGTACGCTAGAAAAAAAGCGATGTAGTAAATGATAGTCGTCCCTGAGGTTCGTTTGCTAATCATCTTCATGCCGATGTGGGTGTATTGTAAATGTCTGCTTAAGATACCACGTTATATTTTTCTTTTCTTTTCTTTTCTTGTCTGTTACTTTTCCATTTCAATAATCCATTCATCTTTATCGTTAGTCAATATGATATACTCAATAAGAAATAATATTAGCTAATTCTGTTTGCTAGAAATTCTTTTTTGACAAATCTTTTATTTAAATAGAAAAAAAGAAAAAAACTTAAATAAAAATGATTCAATTCTATTTTTTATGTTTCTTTTTATTAGAAATGAACATTTCTACTTTTGAGAAAAACTGACACTTGTTCTTTCCTTTTACGATATTGCAATCCATTAAATAGAATTTTAGTAAAAAATCAAATTGATGAACTTGAGAAACAAGAGGGAGCATAAGAGACAGTACTTGAATAAGAATATGAGGGAAGTTTATAGTTTCCTGGCATATAAGAAGATCGAGTTGTTGTGGCATTTTTTTTTTTCAATTCTTAAGAGAGTGCGTGCATGATGAAGGACGTGATGATTAAATAGTAGAATTGTATTGGGTATACATATTTTTATTTAATATTTTCTTATTTTCTATACATTCATATATCATTTGATTATAACGATTGAATGAATCGATTTAACTAAACATATGATAAATATTGTCTGCTTTGTATTTTAATATAATTAAATCTTCTCTTCTCTTATACAATTCTTCTCTCCTTCTTCTTTTTTTTTGAACATTAGAAAAGAAAGGTGTAATACTTCTTTACTTAGTGCTTTGTGCGTTTTTCCTTCTTCTTTTTTCTTCATTTGTTTCTTTTCTTCCGCATTGGATTCCTTTTCTTTGCTCTTGTTCTTTTTCAGCATCTTTCTTTCTCTTTTTTTTTCTTCTTCTCTTCCTTTTCTATCAGTTCTTTTTCAGTCGTTTTCTTTTCGATAGTGGTTCTACCCGCTCGGCATATATCTGTCTTTCTGTTGCTTCCGCAGTTTCTCTGAATCTTGTCGCACAACTCGCAACGTCAAGCCCATTGATTTTTCTCGAAAAGTCGTCAACTGACTTATTTTCCTTATAAAAGTATGTAAATAGACTACATAATGATAAAGAACGTTGGTAAATTTCCGTTGATCAAGTAGAGACTCAAATACATCTGCCAATAAAAAGGTAAATTTATAGAAATGAAAATAAAATAGGCACCATATGAATAGAAAGAACTATATATATATATGAAAATAATATCTGTTAAATTTAGAAATAAATTTATCTATTCGTACTTGTTTATGAAATCGATGATATTAAGACTAACAACAATACTAATAATAACGGAATTATTCGTATATTTAACTCTTCTCACGAAAATAGTTGGTTTTATCTCAAGTAATTTTTTTTCCTTCTTGTCGATATTGATGTTTTTTAATCTAATCACACGTAGATGAAACGTAATGTGCACTCGTATTAGTCTTCATCATTGATGATGGTAAACGGAATAGGAACAATAATGCAGTAGCGCTCGATGGTGCAATCACAATGTAAGAGAAAGCAGTCAGTTTGCACTTGGATAAGATGCAGCAGTGACAGCATCAAGGAAGAAGAGAGAAAGAGAGGGAGAAGGCAAGAGCATTTTTCTCTTTTAGCATCACTGAGCGCTCTTTGTTCTACCCGCGTAACGTATGAGTCTCCGTGTATTTCTCCTCCTTCTCCTCTCGATCGTATATGCGTTGTCGTTGTGTGATGTCAGCGGCCCATTCGTTCTCGCTGATAGGGCAATGCCTTCTGTGTGCGTGCATATGTGCACAGCTCTCTTGTTGAGTAAGTCGCTATGTTTTCTTTTCCTTCGTTCTTTCTTTCGTCCTTTTTTTTTCTCTTTTTCTTTTTTCTTTTTTTTATTATTTGCGTTGTAACTACCATGTATGAGTATGTGTGTGTTTGTGTGTGTGTATGTGGTTGCAGCATCAGCAACTGGTTGTTGTTACTGGGCATCCACTCAACGGCGACAACGAGAAAAAGTGTACTACACGTAGGCACACGTACGAACAAATGAGAGAAAGAAAAGAAAAGAGGAGAAGAAGAAGAAGAAGAAGAAGAGACAGACCAGTCTATTCGACAACTGCCGTATTATTGCAACTATATTACATCAACCACCATGCTTCGGACGCGCCTCCCGTGGAAAGAAAAGAAGAGAAAATGGACAAGGTTTGAATTATATATGAGTCGATCGTTCTTTCCAAGGAAGTTTCCATGATCACTTTTTTTTTAACATGTTATGTGTTTGCAACATAATAGCAAAAAGGTTATCATCACCAACTAAACATGTACGTCATAACCAATTTTATAAGTAAAGGTCAGCTCTGTTTTGTTGCGCCATACTATTCATTCATTTATTGTTCAAAAGTCAATCACAATACGCGCATATGTTCATACATCCATATAGAGACTTTACGCATCTCTATTACATTCACTCTATTATCGTATACTTAAAAATATTGGAGTACTATTATATGTCTTCCTTCGTAGGTATTTTTCTCTCTTTTTTTTTTCTTCATCCCATCAATTTATATATCCATCGTCAACCTTCATTCACCTGGTAGCGTAATGGCAGAGTGATAAGAAGGAATGGTAGTAGGAGGGCGAAAGTATGTATGTGTATGTGTATGCAAGTGAAGAGAAGCAAAGATAAAGTTGCAGCTGACGCGCGCACCCGCGACGGCCTTGTTTTATTCAGGTTTTTTCATCGCATCATCACAACACATCAAATTCGTTTTTCGTCGTTATTCTCTCGCGCCTTCTCATTCTACACTGACGTCGTTGTCGTGTCGACTCTCGTTTTTTTGCTTTGGTCGACGCATAGTACACTACTGCTTTTTTTCCATTCGCTTTCCTTCTCTCTTATTTTTTTATTATTATTATTATACTCCTGCTCGATCGGCAACAACACACTAACGTTGTCGTTTTTTATTACGATTCATATTGAAGGTAAGCTATTTTATAGAGATATACGCAATCGTATATAAGGATACACACATATATTGATGAAGGACATCGTACTAAATAGTAACAACGCATCTGATGAACAACAATCCTTCGTTATTCGACACTCTGGCACCAGTTGAAGTTAATCGAATCAATATGGACAATCAATTGAGTGACACGTAACAGCAACGTATGCTAACGTAGTAGAAAAAAAAAGAATTAATTTGTGTTTGCCGCCACTAGACTAACTAGCTATTATTGTGTTTGAAACTAGTTCTATTGATAATATCGATGTACATATATGTAAAGTAGAGGAGAAAAATAAAGGTATGTATAAATAATACAATGGTTGTTGTCATGTTTATAATAGAAAAATTCAATTTTCAGAAACTATATTAATGATAGTAACCAATGTGTTGTCTCGAATCTGACTAGTTTTGCAATCTGCTCGATAACAAAGCGCAGGTGCTGGCTTTTCAGATACCTGACGCACATTGGAGGACGACGATTATTCTACAATATTTATTTATACTTGTCTTCTTTTAGTCATCAACTTTCCAATCTACACGTGTCATGGTTGTATTATTTAATGTATAAATTGTAATTTTTTTTGTTTTATTTTTTTTTTCAATAAAATATTGACTTCTCTTACTATTGATATAGAAGAATACTATTTTAGAAAGCAAAAAAAAGCAAGAAATTTATTTGAATTTTAACATGTCTTAGATATAAATTCTATGCTATATAAATATGTCTCTTATCTCATATACTCGATTAACACTTATCGTATATAAATGGGTTGGCTATAGGTCTGTGTCGCCATCGTTGTCGCTGTTGATTTACAACCTATTTGTTTTTATTAATCCTTTTGAAGAAAAAAAATATCAAGGATTAAACTAAATAAATGAAATAGAACGATAAGAATATTTGAAAATAGAGAAAAACTAGGCAAGGAAGCAACGATTTTGACTGGTTATAAAACGAACCAATCTTGTAAAAAAGTTGAATCATCATTTTCATTATTTAACCAAGTCATTCATTCATCGTTCTTTTTTCTCGTGATATTCAGGTATTCATCATATTGTTAACTGACTTCCCACTCTAGTCGAAATTCATAGTTATAGATATCAATTGATCTGATCAATAAAATTGATTAAATATAACGATGGTATTTTTTATTTCAACACTGGAAGAATATTTTTCATTTCTCGATAAAATCGAATTAAATACTTTATTTTATACGTTACTGGGACTTACATGGATTATTTCTCTTTGGGAACATTATCTTTCATATCGACAAGTAAATGATTTTTTATAAATAAAACAATTTTTTTTCAAACTAATTTTTTTCTATTGAATAGTATCAAAATTATAAACGCAATCGAAATGTTCCAAGTGAATTAGCTGATGTAATGACAGAAGAAGAGTTGAATAAAGCTCGTTCATATGCTCAAGATAAAATGCGTTATAATGAAATCCATTCAATATTTAATGAAGTTGAAACAACGGTAAAACTACACATATATATTTTTTGTAAACTTTATTTCTTATCTATTTCAATAGACATTATTATTAATTGGTGCACTTCCATGGTTATGGAAAAAATCTGGCAATATATTAGCAAAATATGATTATAATAATCATGAAATATTACAATCAATCGTATTTATTCTTATTATGATGATCTATTCAACAATTTCAAGTATTCCATGGTCTTATTATTATCATTTTATACTCGAAGAAAAACATGGATTCAATAAACAAGTAAATTAAATTAAAGAAAAAAATAACTTTGCTCATCATGTTTCTTCTTTTTGTTGTTTAGACAATTGGTTTCTTTATTAAAGATAATATCAAAAAATTACTGGTTACACTTGTTTTAACATTACCAATTGCTTCACTTTTAATTAAAATTATTCAAATAGGTGGTGACTATTTTTTTATTTACGCATGGCTTTTCATTACCATTATGTCATTGGTAAAGATATATTACTAATTAAAGAAAAAAAAACTAATTACTTTTTTTTACCTTTAAATTCAATTTAGGGTATTGCGTTTATCTATCCAAATTATATCGCACCACTATTTGATCGTTATGATCCTTTACGTGAAGGTGAATTACGTGCAAGCATCGAAAAATTAGCAGCAAAAATCAATTTTCCACTTGCTAAAATTTACGTCGTTGAAGGTTAGTATCGAAGTATAAAACATTGAAAACTTGAAGGCCGTGTTTATAATTAATCATTTTTCGTATGCCTTGAAAATTAAGCATTTCGATGATCGGTTCACTGCGTAACTGATTAATTAGAAATTAATATACTAAAGAAAAATACGAAGATTTGAAATTTTTTTAATTAGGTTCCGCTCGATCGGCTCATTCCAACGCATATTTTTATGGATTTTTGAAAGCCAAACGAATTGTTCTTTATGATACACTTATAAAAGGTTATACTATCAGTAAAACTGATGATAATGTAAGTTCGATTGTTTTTAACAATACATAAAAACTTATCTAATGAATATTTTTGATAAATAGAAGGATAAAGAAAATACAACTAATGAAGTAACTGAAAAATTATCAGAAGAAGAAACTACATTAACTCATCGTCGAACAACTGATGAGAAAATCGATAAAGAAAATAATGATCCACAAGCAACAAAAAAGAAAGCCGATAAAGGTTGTGAATCTGATGAAGTTCTTGCTGTATTATGTCATGAATTTGGACATTGGTACCTTAGTCATAATCTTATTAATATGTGTATTTCATTCGTAAGTTTTTTTTTGAAGAAAATATTTCTTATTCAATAACATATTCTTCTTTCTATGCTATTTCTAGCTTAACTTATTTTTGGTATTTGCTATATTTGCTGCACTTTTCAAACGTACAGTTCTTTATCAAGCATTTGGTTTCACTAAAACACGACCAATTTTAATGGGTTTATTAATTATCTTTCAATATGTCTTATCACCTTATTTTGAAGTAAATCATTAATAAAAACCTTGTTCTTTCTTTTTTTTAATTTAATATTTCTATTTCGAAGGTCTTCTCATTTGCATTAACAGCATTATCACGTCGTTTTGAATTTCAAGCTGATAATTTCGCTGTTAAACTTCATCATGGTGAACCATTAGGACGTGCTTTAAAGAAACTCGAAATTGATAATATGACATATCCATTTTCGGATTATCTTTACGCAAAATATCATTATTCACATCCTACATTACTCGAACGTCTTAAAGCAATAAAATCAAAACAAAATTAGACATGACATTACTCTTAGCCTCATCGTTGTTGTTCTTCATTATTAACTTCAGTCTCTTAATCTATATCTAATAAAACGAAACACAAAAAAACAATTTTTACATGTTTATTTCTATCTAGGAATTCTATTTTAAAATAAAAGTTATTAAATATAACATTACTTTGCAAAAATCGATAGTTTATATGTATATTTTAGATAAAGAATAATATCTGTTATAAATCGTTTAGCATATACATCAAGTATTATTCGGTAGAGTTGTTTCTAATCTAAAAACGACGAAAGAAGAGGCGTCATATTATCTTAGCAAATAGCGATTCATGTTTGAGTTCGAAAGCTATTCAAATAGTTCAGATTGTGTCTAGTATCATGATAATCTTCGAAGAGTTTTTCGATGTACGTAGGAATTATTAGAGTAAAAATGAGAATACTTTTCTCATTGTATAGTAACAGCTTTCTCTCTTTCAGCTTTATAGATAAATTTCAAGAAAACAAAATATATTAAAGAGAAGTTTATATCAATAGATCGAATATGATAAGGAGTTAAAAGAATGAATTCATGTATAGTTTAAATGTAAGATACTGTCAAAGTGGAATATCTATAGGCTTTCATAACTGTCTAAAGAAGAATTAATCCAACGGGTCGAAACTAAACATCTGCTTTATTTTCTGTGCAAGTGTTAGGAAAAAAACATGAATGATAAGTGACAATACCTGGATAACATTAGAAGATAAAGAAAAGAAACGAAAAATCCCATATACATATATATGTCGTGTATGTCATATATATGAGTGAATTGCAACTTTTTGGTACAATTAGATTTTTGATGTATTTCGCTAATAACTCCAGTTTGCGCCAGCCGATTTCAACGATTTTTTGATATGTTATAGTGCTTGGAACACCTCACTGCCATGCAAAATTTCAGCTCAGTAGCTCATGTTATTGCTGAGTTATAAAAAATTTATGATGAAAAAATGTCATTTTTTCATGACATATGCTAAGAAAAGGAAATTTTTCGACAATAAAGAGGCAAGAGGAAAAGGAGATAATTAATCTATTTTGTACAGTTTTTGACGCTCTATCGAAATATGTAACTAGTTTTAGTTTGAATTTCCACTGGTTCGTTCATCTAATGGTCACATTGTTTAACAGACACTTGTTCGTTTTTATGTAGAGTGACACAAACACAGTTCTAGCTCAGCCTATGATAGAGCTGGCAGCGCGCGGATGATATAAAAAGAAAGCCAACACTTTAACTATAAAACTGATGTAAAAAGGTTCTCTCTTATCAAGTTTATTTCAAACAAAAAAAAACGAACTTTCGAAAAAAAAAAGATATTTACTCACTTTGTAGAGTGACAATTTGAAAATTGTCTGATTCATAACTCTCGAACGGGTCGTCCGATTTAGCTCAAATTTTTAGAGAATGTGTAAAACAAAAAGTTCTATTAGTGGTAAAAATTTCAGCCTTTGATCTCTTACCGTTCAAGAGAAATTTACATTATACTGAAAAATGTAGAGTGACGTTTTTTTCGAAAATTATGTAGAGTGACGATTTTTGCAAATTGTCTGCTTTATAACTTTCGAACGGGTCGTCAGATTTAGTTGAAATTTTTAGAGAATATATAAAACAAAAAGTTCTATTAGTGGTAAAAATTTCAGTCTTGGATCTCGTACCCTTCTCGAGAAATTTACATTATACTGGAAAAAAATGTAGAGTGACGGTGTTTTTGAAAATTGTCTTATTTATAACTCGTGAACGGGTCGTCAGATTTAGCTCAAATTTTTAGAGAATGTATAAAACAAAAAGTTCTATTAGTGGTAAAAATTTCAGCCTTGGATCTCGTACCCTTCTCGAGAAATTTACATTATACTGAAAAATGTAGAGTGACGTTTTTCAATAAAATAACGCTTTTTATGGTACATTTACATTGAGTAAGTCGTATCTCAGTTAATATGCGGTAAAGTGTTGGGAAATTTTTTGTGCATAATACAGGCATATAGTATAGCAAAATGTACTACTCAAAAGTTGCTTAGAACCACTTTCATTTTTTCGCACCAATTGTACCAAAAAGTTGCAATTCACTCATATATATATAGCAGCAAAGAGAAAAAAACATGTGTTAATCATATTATAACAATGATCGAATCTGAAATCATTTTATTTGACTTTCTAACATTATCTTTTTACAATATGATGAAACTGAATATTTGGATTTGTTGCATATCGGATACTATCAGTAAATTATTTTATTTTTAGAATATGCATTCAGATAATGAACACGAGAATGATAATATTAATCGAAGAGATACCGATTTTAAAATCGAACGATTTCTTGAACAATCACAAAGTTATTTAAAGCGATTACCACCACTTAAACGACAATTAAATGAAATTAATCGTTTATATCAATTTGATTTATATGTACAAAAATTAAGTAAGCATTAAACATGATCGTATAAGATACAGTACCAATTTTACTCTAATGATTAAATAAAATTCATATTTATTTTTAGACGAAATCGGTAAAATCGTTCAAACTTTAGCTCAAAATATTCGTAATATTGAACAGTTACATTTACAATTAACTGAAAAATATCGTGTAAAACACGATCGAAAAATACTTCTTCTTCGTACAGAAATCAATAATGAAATGTCAGAATTTCATACACTTCGTAATCAAGCTATGGCTTCTTCTATTGATGAAAATTTGTCTACTGCAGATGATAGAAGTGATGATAATAATAATACTGAACAGGATCCAGAATCAAATGGACTCCGTCAACGACATGTAACAGAAACAAATCGTTTAAATGATTCATATGATTTACTTGAACAAGATCTAATACTTTTACGTGATACTATGAATGAAGTTGCTCAACTTGTTCAATTACATAAAGAAAAAATATCACACACAGAACAACTTATACACATAGCTCATGATCAAATACGTAATGCATCAACATTACTTCAAAAAGCAGTTCAAAATAAATATATTACATTAGCATCAGGTGCTATACTTGGTGCTAGTCTTGGTGGACCTATTGGTTGTATTATGGGTTTAAAAATTGGTGCATTAGCAGCATTAAGTGGTTCAGCTGTAGGTGCTTTTTCAGTAAATCGCATGCAACAAAAAATGATACGAAATGAACAACAGATACATAATAATCATGATTCATACAATCAAGCTATGCTTTGAAAATTACTTTCGACTTTCGGACTGATATATTTGTAATTTTTTTTTATAACTTTTTCTATTACGTATATATATATTTGAATATATGTAAATATCTCTATTACAGTTTACTTTACTTGCAAAAAAAAAGATCGCATATTATTTCAATTATCATAATTAAAAATATAGTTTTTAATTTAGTTTCTAAGTACAAAAATTATGAAATATTTATTGCGAGTTAACATTTTTGCATAGTTTCACCATCAAGTATATCGTCAAAATACAAACAATTGACGTTGCTAGGAACAATGAAAACATCAACTAATCAGTTTACTTTTTTTTTACAATATTAAAAAATGTTTTAGAATCTACATGACTGTCATTCTGTCGTTATAACAAATGTCTTTATGTGGATTTCTTGCTCTTAGTGCAAAAAAAAGCGGAATGTTTACTTTTTTTTTAATAATGAATCCTATAAACTTTTGCAAGCTAAAACTATATTTCAAATCTTTTCATTCGTTGAATAATGAGTGTTGTCGATTTAAAGATAAAAGAATCTTTTATAAGAATAATAAGTAGCAAACTATAACTATTCATTACATGATTCATCCCATTCTGGTAATATTTATGAATCATTATTTAAGTTAGTAATGTATTTTTCGGATTAAACATTTTGCTTAGTCATATGCTTTTATTGTAAATTATTTGCTCTCTTTTAAAGAATATATTAGGTGAATTATTGCAAATGAATCCAATAGAATAGTTACAAATATGCTGTTTGGATGTATTAACTTATATAAGTATTCCTTAATGCTCCTAAAATCTATTGGTTGAAGCCTCATTTCTAGAAGAAACTATATTCTATGTAAATTCTGCGTAATTACAATAAATTCATATGCCAAAAATAGTCACAATTATTAAAATTAATGTGACTGGATTTTGCTTTTATGTATTATATACAGAAATATAAGTAGAGCAGTTTCGTATTCGTAACAAATCAATATACAACGATTAACATGTTTTGAATTTATCACCTTCTATTAAACTACTCTTGAATACAGTGAATAATAAAAGATTCTCTTATATGATTTACGTCTTGACGAATAAAAACAAAGTGTATGATTGATTCGAACAATAATTCATATAGAAATTTTGTAATTGTGAAACTTAAATCAGTCTAATGCATCTGATGTAATTTCAGCTATAATAAACATTATATTTCTCTCATGAATAACGTTTACTTTAATAATGAAGTAGTCAATTTCTCAAGAGAATCCTATTCAAGGCTTGCAAAATTCTGTCTATTCTGAAAAGAAAGTATAAGATGGTGTATTTTTTAATTCTTTTTAAAAAAAGAAATTTTCATATTATCATTATGAATCGGAGATGATATTATTTCTTATAGTATCACATTATTATTCGTAGTAGTTTCTTGTCTATAAATCTTTATTTTATTACAGTTTAAGAATCTGAATAAATCAAAAAACCAGATAGAATACAAAACAAATATTGATTATTGATATGAGTAATAAACCGAATGATTAGCAATCTTTGCCAATGTATAAATAAACAACAGAGAATGATTTTCTAATTAAGTAATAAAATTTATTCTAAACTTTATTTTAAATTATAAACCCTCATAATTAGTTTATAGTTGCAATCAAATGTTTTCTTTTTTTTCTTCTTTCTATTCAATTAATCAATCAATCATGCAATTCTATCTGTGTGCGTGTATGTGTTCTGATTCCGAAACGAGTATTGATCTCATCTATTCGAGAGAAAAAAAATCATGTTTCTCATCATCCAGTTCGTTATATAGATATATGCGTTCAGTTGCTAGCTTTTTTAATAACGTGAAAAAAAGAGAGAGAGAGAGACAGAAACAACCAATACATGTCGATGTCTACTTGTTGCCATCGTGAGTGCAGCAACCAAACAAACACAAATTATGTATAGTATTGCCGGCCGCATAGATGTTTCCTCGGTTACTCTATGCCTTTTTTTCTTCTCTCACATCAGCCACGTCCGACGTCTTCTATACTGTTGCTACGATGATGATGTGATATATACGCATAGTCTCTCATTTTTTTTTTCGTTTCAGTCATCGTTGCCGTCGTCGTCTAACAACGCATACACACAACACACTCCTTCCATTCACATCCACTTCATCTTTCTCTCTTTCTCTTCTTTCCTCTCTTGCTATTTAAAAGAAGAAACTCAGTTCAAAATTGCCTCTCATTCTTCGCTCTAGACGTACATATTCGCTCGTCGTCGTAGTCGTCACTTTTTTACACTCTGAACATTTAATACTAGCAAGAAAAACAAAGTAAATCTTTTATAAGATTAACAAAAGAGTCAAATAAAAAACTAATTGTTTTTTTCTTCTTCTCGCATAGATGCGTGAATGTATCTCAATCCATGTCGGCCAAGCCGGTGTTCAAATTGGTAATGCCTGTTGGGAACTTTATTGTTTAGAACATGGTATTCAACCTGACGGTCAAATGCCATCAGATAAAACCATTGGAGGTGGTGATGATTCATTCAATACCTTCTTCAGTGAAACTGGTGCTGGTAAACATGTACCACGAGCTGTTTTCGTCGATTTAGAACCAACTGTCATTGGTAAGAATATATATATTCTTAAAGTTAATATTATTTCTATTTATTTCATCTTACAGATGAAGTACGAACTGGTACATACCGTCAACTCTTTCATCCTGAACAACTTATCACCGGCAAGGAAGATGCTGGTAAGACAATAATTCAAAGAAGTTTTTTCATTAGAATATTTCTCTATTATTAGCTAACAACTATGCTCGTGGTCATTATACAATTGGAAAAGAAATCGTCGATCTTGTACTTGATCGAATCCGTAAATTGGCTGATCAATGTACTGGTCTTCAAGGTTTCCTCATTTTCCACAGCTTCGGTGGTATGTTTTTTTGTTTAAATGAAATCTATTTAAAATATTTTTATTGTAAATGTTTTCTATAGGTGGTACTGGTTCAGGTTTTACATCATTATTAATGGAACGACTCAGTGTCGACTATGGCAAGAAATCAAAACTTGAATTTGCCGTCTACCCAGCTCCACAAATTTCAACAGCTGTCGTCGAACCATACAATTCAATTCTTACAACACATACAACACTCGAACACTCTGATTGTGCTTTCATGGTTGACAACGGTTCGTAGATTGATATATGAAAAGTTTTATTTTTTATTATTCTTACAAAATTCTAGAGGCCATCTACGATATTTGCCGTCGTAACTTGGATATTGAACGACCAACATACACCAACTTAAATCGTCTTATTGCTCAAATTGTTAGCTCAATTACAGCTTCACTTCGATTTGATGGTGCACTCAACGTTGATCTTACTGAATTTCAAACCAATTTGGTACCTTATCCACGTATTCACTTTCCTCTTGCTACCTATGCACCAATCATCAGCGGTATGAAATATTAAAATTTATTAAATATGCAAGAAAATATGTTTTTTATTTTCATTTCAGCTGAAAAAGCCTACCATGAACAATTGACTGTAGCTGAAATTACCAACGCTGTCTTTGAACCAGCCAATCAAATGGTTAAATGCGATCCTCGTCACGGTAAATAACTAAGATTTGCATATTTCTCTTTAATATATTCATTATTATATTAGGAAAATATATGGCTTGCTGTTTATTATATCGTGGTGATGTCGTACCAAAAGATGTCAATGCAGCCATTGCTACCATCAAAACCAAACGAACAATTCAATTTGTTGATTGGTGTCCAACTGGTTTCAAAGTTGGTATCAACTATCAACCACCAACAGTTGTACCAGGTGGTGATTTAGCTAAAGTTCAACGTGCTGTTTGCATGTTATCAAATACAACAGCCATTGCAGGTATGTTTTTCGAAAATAATTTATGAAAAATATAAATCTAATGATTTATTTCTTTGACAGAGGCCTGGGCTCGTCTTGATCACAAATTCGATTTAATGTACGCCAAACGTGCTTTCGTTCATTGGTACGTCGGTGAAGGTATGGAAGAAGGTGAATTCTCGGAAGCTCGTGAAGATTTAGCTGCACTTGAAAAAGATTACGAAGAAGTCGGTGTTGACTCTGTTGAAGTATGTGTTAATTATTTAATCATTAAAATTACTAGATATTAATTTTTTCTTCTTCTTTTATTCTAGGGAGAAGGTGAAGGTGAAGGTGAAGAATATTAAACGGGCGAAGAATCATAATACTAAAAGCACAGCAACATTAACAATAATAAAATTTTCCATCAAAAATTCTAGTTTCTTATTGTGTACTATCTTTTTTTTTCTTCTTTTTTGATTCTGTATCTTATCTTTTCCACTAATTTGCCATCAAATGAAAGATCTTCGATGTAATTCAATATAATTCATTCTTATTTTTCCTATTTTTTTTCTGTGCTTCGCCTATAAAACAAAAAAAAGAACAAAATAAACAAATGATCCATTTTCTTCTAATTAAATATAAGAATTCAATCTTCTAAAAATATATTTAATGTAGTTGATTGTTTTGCAAAACAAAAATATCTAAATTTCATTTCTTAAGTATACCATTTAAATCATTTCTTACAATATGACTGCATTTCACTAGTAAAACTGGCAGTTCATTATATTTCAGTACACATAATAGACCGTATACTAATCTGCTTATGCTGATTATAAATAAATTTAGTATTTGTTCATGTCTTACTATACAGACATCTATGTAAGACAAGTATAATATTCAATCGTACAATTAAATGCTTGATTTAAGTTACGTATTACTTGAAAGAAAGAAGAAGTAAATGACTAGTTTTAATAAATCAATTTTCAATTAATATCGTTCGAGTTATACCAATTTTATTGTCTTTTATAAGAAAAATTATTAATCAAATAAATGACATATTATAAAAAAATATATGTATAAATTAGAGTTTGCATAGTAAAACTTAATTTAAATCATGATTATATTTGTGTGGTTTAGTTGAGTATGTTTTCTTCTGATGGTCATCTTTGCTAAGACAATCATTTACAATAGATTTATCTTGTAGTAATTGTTTAATTTGTAAAATTCGATCGTGATGTCGAGGAGCTATTATTTTATCCCATATAGCTTTTGTAAAATTTATTTTTAAATGTAAATGTGCATGATTACGATATGTTCCATGATTAAGTATCATATTTGGATAGAAGTTTTCGTGTTGACCATATTCTTTATCGATTAATTCAATTGCATCATACCAAAATGCTTCCATTTCTCCATTTTCATCTATTAATTCTGATAAACGTTCAACATGTCGAATAGGTGTTAAAATGAGTTTTTCTCTTGCTCGACCATCTAGCCAAGCACGAGTATATTGTTGTTCAGATAGTAAACTTGTCTTACTCAACTCATGTGTTGGTTCACATGAGATACAAACAGGCATAATTGGTGGATTTGATGTGCGACTTATGGAATCGAAATAAATGTGCACATCTAATTCATGATTTCGATTAAAATTATGTCGAAGTTTAAGATGATAATTAATTATTTGATTGTCATCTTCGAGAAGAGTAACAAGTTGTCGAAAATAACTAGCAGCTCGACCTGTTTTAACTAGATCATTCAAAGTGGTAGAACATCGAAATATCCATTCTTGAGGATGTTTCTGTGGATTAAGCCATTGTGCGGGAATCGTTAATGAAGTCATTCTTGTCTGAAATATCAAAAAATGTGAAACACTATTTTCTTTGTACACTATGTATTGTAAATAGATGAATGATTTCATCATAAATTTAAAATTAAATCAACATTCAGACTTTATCTTCTTTTAGCTGGAATGCAAAAGTTTTAATTCATAGTTATAAATGAATCTATATGAAAATTTATCAATGTCAGTTCATCATCATTTATTTTCTTCTTTTTTTTCAAAATATTACTATGGTTTTGTTTTTTTCATACAATGATAAAACATATACAACAGTAATGTTCTTTTTTATATTTTTCAATATAAATTAACCGATTCATAAAGAATATCGTTTAAATCAGTTTGATCATTTATCATGAATGATTAAGTATCGGTAGTTTGTATTTTTATCGAGCTACTGGAAGAAAATTGAAGATAATCAGAATTATAATAATAACAATAACAAAATTAACAAGATGATGAAGAATTGTACGTCGAATAGGTGGTGTTGGTTCAGGAGTTTTCATATTTAAAATAAAAATCTTAATCAATACAAATAAAACAAGAAGGTAGTTATTCAAGTCGAATTTGACACGACATATAAAAAAGCTCAGTCCTCCCGTGTAAAGCAATGATATGCTGATTGGTGAACGGTTTTGTTCCATGGATCAGTGACATCTATTGAAGATTATTGAGTTCTTGTATTTTAATATAAAATAATCAATCAAGAACTGTATAACCGAAGTTCTACTTCAGTCGAAAGGAATCAAAAAAATTGAACCAACGAACATATGAAAGAATAAGCAGTAAAATAACAAACTATAAATAGAATAAATGGAAGTATGCTCATAAAAGAAAATAACATATTCCTCTAATATCAATGGAATGTAACAAATATAGAAATATAAAGATGATAATAGTATATGAAGTTAGTTATTTCATTTATCTAATAGAATTTTAATATAAATGTCTGTGTTTTTTGCTGAAAACTATCTATAGTTTTCATTTTTTCTTAATCTATTTTGCTTCTCTTCCATATTCTGTTAATCTCATTAAGAGATACCAAAAGACTATTAGACAGAGACATCCGTCACATAAATATAATAAGATACGAGAGAAGAGAATAATAAATCAAAGGAATTATCTACAACCTAATCTTTGATGAATTATATCACGTATCTTCATTCTAGATGATCTCAAATGCTTCGAATCTGTCCCCATACATCGAATCAAATCGGTGGAAATTTCATTAATGAAGCAATAAAATGTATTTGTGTTCGTAAATCATTAATCATCATCTACTACAGCTGATATCCAATTATTAACTAAATCAAAACAAAAGCTCTGTAACATGTCAACATGCAGCTGAAGAAGATGGTACATATGAGTTATATTCAGAATAAAATATTATCAACGACAGGACCAGAAAGTATAAAATTTGTTAGATGACAACATTAATTAGTACTATGCTGGCTACGGAATAGTTTTACTATATTTATTGAGAATTGAAATGAAAATGTATAGAGAAAGGCTAAATCCAGACTGTCGACAATTGAGAGCATATCTACACGAAGAGGAAGTCGTTAGTTATCTATTGAAAGTATCTCGCTACACTTGCAATTGTGACTTTCGTACGGTAAAATTAGAAATGACTCTTAATCTGTAAGATTTGATCCAGATTCTGACGAGATTGAAAGAGATGACACATAACTGACTAGAGAGAACTTCACTCTGAACTTTATAAATAAAGTTATTATCTTTTGTGAATATCGAAAAAATACAATGAAGTTTGCAAGTTATTGTTTCAGATCAGTTCCTCATTGACAGTATATTATTCATTTGTGTCATTATATTAAGCAGTATAATATAAAATGAGAGAGACTGCAAACCATCGACAACTCTGTCTATACTAAGTTTGAAGAAGTTCGAGAGTGTATTCTGTCTATTCATGATTTAAGATAATGAGCAGCTCGGAAAGTTGCTGAAGATTCAGTTTTTAACTTCCAAGCATCGAAAAATATGGATTCATTTTAGGCAGATGTGAAGCATAAGATGAATTACTGTGATGAAGCAACCAAAAAGAGATATGATCGATAGTGAATTAATTGACTGTCTGTTTTTGTAGTAATCTAACGATATGTCACTTTTCGATAGTAAAAGCAAACTGTTTCCTGTCTCAAATGTTATAGTAACATACAATTCTTCTAGAAAGCTGACTTCTACATTTGTCGAATATTAGCAAAATCATGTTCTTCATTCGATCGTTTTAGACAAGTCTCTTTTACACTTGCATTATTGATCTTGATAGAGATAATCGAATGTATATTCTGTTGTCAAAGGATGTAAAAGACTGTTCAAACTACGGTTTTATCTAACAATCAGATATCTATTTTAATAAACGATAGAATATGATGGCTCGACGTATTTACAATAAATTCTCTTCACCGACGATTTTGTCATTTGATGACTCATGCATTTTTTCATATGTTTAAATTAAACCAATAACAACTTATTTTCTCGACATCTATCATGACATAAAGAGTAATATTATAATTAGATAATTTTCATGAAAAGATTCTCATCAATCTCATAAAATTTTCAAATAAAATAATTATATATAATTATTCTCATTGGAATAACAAATACGGTACTTTGCGGATGTTCTTTGTGTATACACTATAACTTGTTTTTTCATGATTTAAGACAAAGAAGTTTTCTTTTTTTGGATGTCTAAATTGAACTATATCATTGAATATTCTACGTATAAATTGTAGCTAATAAAGTTCAAAACAAATCTGAAATAAAAATTTAATTATAGATAACGTCGTGTCTTTTGTTTTCTTTTAACTTGTATTTGATAATTAATAATTATGAGTAGTAACGATGATCATATATTAGCCACATTGAAAATTCTCATTATTGGAGAATCTGGTGTCGGAAAAAGTAGTCTTCTCTTACGATTTACTGATGATAGATTCGATGTTGAAATGGCTGCAACTATTGGTGTAGACTTTAAAGGTATATTCTGCTAGAAAAAGAGGAAACTATTCGAAATTATTTTTTTATAAAAATATTTCTTTTACTTTAGTAAAACAACTAACTATCGATGGAAATCGAGTTAAATTGGCTATCTGGGTAAGTACAGATACTAGATTAAATAAAAAACATCAAGCGTAGATCATAACTATGTTTTTATATAAGATATCAATAGTCGATTTTTTATTCATACGCACTTAGATAATTATCAGGGCATAGATAAAAATCTTCATGGGCAATTTGCACTTTTTTTTATAATTTAAATTATTTATGGGTTGCACTGGGTAGAAGCGAATGTTATTGCTAACGAATGAGGATTATTAATTGAGTGTGTATATGAATATTTAGGTTAATTATAACTAAAATCTAATTATAAAATCAGATTATAAATGTACGACGTGACCAAACATAAAATATACGCTGGTTTTTTTTGTTTGTTTATATGTACAAGTCAAAACTAAACCTAAAGTCTTTTCTATTAACATTAAATAATCATATTATCTTATTTTTCTAGGATACCGCAGGGCAAGAACGTTTTCGTACTTTAACACCTGGCTGTATGTATACATACTTTTCCTTTTCTTTCTAATAATATCAATAACATATTTTTATTCTATTTAGATTATCGGTAAGATCAACGTTGTTTATTTTTATTTAATATCAATTTTGTTTCTTCAGCGGTGCACAAGGTGCTATCCTTGTTTATGATGTGTGCAATCGTGATTCATTTCGACAATTAGATCGGTAATCATATAAATACATGATTCATATATATGTATATATTAAATTGATTTTATTGTAATATAGATGGATTGCAGAATTAGATACATTTTCAACAAAAATGAATATTATTAAAATGCTTGTTGGAAATAAAATTGATCAGGAAGATAAGCGAGAAGTAACGCGTGATGAAGGTGCAAGATTTGCACGTAAACATTCAATGTTATTTATTGAAGCATCAGCTCGTACACGTGAAGGTGTACAAATTGCATTTGAAGAACTTGTTGAAAAAGTAATTTTTTTAATTAATTATCAATTGTTTTTATTTTTAAAAAATATATATTTAGATTATTCAAACTCCATTATTATGGGAAAATGAACAAAAATCGAAAGAAAATACAGTTCAACCACATGATAATGAGAATTCTAATGAAGCTGCACAAGGATGTTATTGCTAAACATTTTGTTTTCCCTGTATTTTTCTGTAAATATGTATGAATTACATCACAGTATCCTTTTTTCTCCAATGGATCACGTCTAGTCAAACAAATGAGTATACGTGAAATCTATTTTGTAATTTATTCTTTCTCGGTCTCAAACTTTTTCTTTTTTTATATAACAAATGTCTCTCATATACAGTTAAATTTTGTTTGTCTCCTAATACTTTATTCACTTTAAAACTGGTGGGGCTATTCTAGTTCTCTTTTTTTTTTACTTTTAGATGCAAATAATAGAAGAATTTTTTTTAAAGAACAATACAGAAATTAATAGAAATAGAAAGCAATTATTCTATTCTCTATGGATGAAGAAATAGTTTTGTATAAGAACGATACATATTCTATATTGTTGATATGATTATCGATGTTACATACGAAGAATTATTGTATTCTTCATAGAGTAAGTATAACTTCGTTCTTTGGAATACTATTAGATATTTATTGGGTTTATAGAGTATTTCGTATGACGAAAATATCTTCTTTTTCAATTAATAAACTAATCTAGATCAAATTTTGAATAGAACGAACAACTCGTTCTTTTATATGAATAATATTAGTATATTTATTAGAAGCAGAAAAAACGAGATGAATAACGATTTGGTTTTTCTCTTGTAGAATTATTGTTTTTTATCGTTTATTAATATTAATAGTATACCGCCATAAAAAATAACTACAAATAAGATTAATTCTGATCTCATGGGATAAGAAAGAAAATAGTTCTATCTAGATGAAATTTAAAGGTTTAGAAATAACTCATATACGTCATTGTTTCTTTTTGTTGATATTATGACAAATATATTGTTTCTATAGTTCCATTCTATAATATAGAAAAAAAATCAATTCATATAGAAGAAAAAAAAATCTATTAAGACAAGGTAATTAAAACATTTTCATGATTAAAAACTCAACAGATTATGAAATTACTTGCCTGGAAGAAAAATACTGTAGGTTATACCTTTCTCAAATGAAACATATAGTAGCATAGTAAAGGTAATCATACATGAAGTTGTAAATGAGCTAGGAGTGTTCTAGTTATTAGTCAGTTTTATAGTGATATAAATATATACTATTCTGAAAATATTGATTAATTATAGATGTAAATAATCTATCGAGAATATATGATAAAAATAAAATAAGTTGTTTTTTTTATAATGAATTACTGAAACATAATATTAAATAAATATACGTCTTTTAAACCGTAATATGATTAGTATATTTACTCGGCATTTACTTTTTACTACCACGTCATATAACAATAAAGTAGTCCATTCAATCGATCATAGTGGATTATAAAAATGTCAATGATAATTTAAGTAGTACTGAAAAATAATTAATTTGTTCTTGTAAAGTATAAAATAAATTATTTATAATAGAAGAAGTATGAACTAAAGTTTATGCATTAGTGAATAATTTGTAAATAAAATGATAAAAATAAATTATTTATATTTGACATATGTTTATCAAGAGACGCTTTAGAAAAATTTAATATATAGACGAAAATTCTTAAATTTGTACTTAAAGTATAAAATCACAATGTACTTGATTTGTTTGTTTTTCTTTTGAAAATTATTATTATTTTGAAAAATTGATTTTTAGTAAAAAAATCAATGATATTCTTATTTTAATTAATTAAAAAAATAATTCTTTTTAATTCAAGTATATACTTATTTTAGTTGAATAAATAAATGACAATAAGAGGTATTTATTTTACAACTATTGAGATAAGAATAAAAGCATATAAATATAACAAAAAAAAGAAAAAAAAACTAGTGACCTTGTGTATTTTGTAGAAAGGATTTTCTATTTAACTAATAAACATTCCTTAGAGTAAAAAATAGAGATTCTTTTTTTTTTTTGTTCGAAAGAGTCTTGTGTTTTTTTTGTATGTTAGTATAGATAATTATTTTCTTGAGATACTCAGTTTTGTAAGGTAGTGTATGAAGTATTTGTTCTTTTTTAATAATTTATCATGTCTGTGTATAATATTACTCATTTTGTTATCTATATAAACTCGTTTTGTTTATTAATAAAACATCTTCTGATTTCTTAGTCTCGATAACTGAATAAATCAAAATGTGAGTATCATTTAATAGTGTTTTTTTTTCCTTTTTTTTCTCTATAGAAATCTATGGGATCGTTTAGTAGAAAAAGTAGTTGTTATAGAGAAATTCTGACGTTGATCATTTCACTAGTTATGGTCGTCTAGTTGTCTAGTATGTTGAAAAAAAAAAGAATAGAAAAAAAAGAAAAACAAGATGAAGAACAAGGACAAGAACGACGATGACAAGAACGGAAGAATGAGTGACATTGAAATTCTCCAGCTATATTAGTAGCAAACGCTGTCAGATCTTGCTCTTATGTTGACTGTCGAGTTTTTTTTTGCTTTCTCACTACTGCTACTCTTTGCAGTTTTTTTTTTTGTTATTCTTCACCTCTTTCATTTTTCTATTGCGTCATGTTATTCTTTTTTTAACAACTTACTCTTTTGGTAGAAATAACAAAAAAAAAGAAGAAGATGAAAAAAAATGATGATGTTGATATACTTTCTCTTAATGATAATCATTGTTGATGTATTGTGCTCTTTAGGGTTTTTATATCTGCTTGAATGTAATGATACTATGTCTATTTGCACGTTTTGTCCACTACACATACATACAAAATTATGTTAAAATAGAGATTTTATCGTCATTGACATAGTTCGTTCTTTATGCTTTTATTCCCCCTCCCTTTCTTGCTCTTCTTTTTGATTCCGATTGAAAGTGGTGGTGGTAATGTTGAATACGATCGAATCTGACGACGTTATCGAAGGAGACGTAGCAATACTTGATTATTTGCCCCCCGCAAAAAGTACAATATAGAGTACATTTACAAAACACAGCAGGCATTGTACTAGCAATAGAAAGAAGCGAAACATTCATTTGTATATTTATAATAAAGCAAAATAATGCCGAATGATAAACAACATCTGATCAGCGACGATTCTGAACTCAATAGTAGATTACTGGCACGGTGAGCTATCTGTTTTGCGATTAATAAGAGAAACCAAACAGAAAATCGGAGAGAGGAAGAAAACAAGGAAATCAAATATTATGTTTTATCTAATAATAATTTTATTCTTTTCATTTAAAGATTATCAAAAAAAAAGTTTAATCTTAAAAATTTCAGATGGAATATGAGTTCAAAACATGGAAATCCAACCAACAATAATAATAATAATACTAACGATATATCTATTGATAATACAATCAATAATAATCTAAATCAAAAATCGACATCATGTGCTGTTGGAAATCGTTTATCATCTTCACATCATGTTCGACATCATTCATATGATACAACATCGAATAAACTTGCTACACAAATTTTTCCACCATCTCGATTAAATCGAAAAGAAACTAATGCAAATGAAAATCCTCAAACACAAATATCACAATCACATTCATCACATCGACATACATCTTCATATGCAGCATCAGATCGTTCATCATTTACAAATTTAAATAGTAATTATTATCATCAACATAATTATTCAGCATCACAAGAAAATTTACGACGTAAGTTTAACTAGATATAATTACAAAAAAATAGATCAATTAAATAATAGAATTAGTCAATATGACAAAAAAAACAAAAATAGACTTAAGTAAATATTATATTAAATAACAAGAAACTAATACATTCGTTTTTTTTTTGTTCGAACAATTATCAATAGAACATAAACTATTCCGTTTTAATTATTATTATAAAATGAACAAATATTTTCGAAATGAAAACTTCTCTTTTTTTTTCTTCTTCTTCTGTCAATAGATTCTGATATTAACCCATCATCATTTACTACAATTCCATTGAAATATCCAATTACACCAACTATACCATCATCAATTCCAATAACAACTGCAACAACAACAACGACGTCGACGTCTACAACAACAACAATATCAACGGCAGGAGCAACAACATCAAATTCTTTACCTTCTTCACTTTCCCATTTAAATAATAATTCATCATCGTCATCTTCATCAACTATTCTCAATCGTTTTAATATTCATAATGCTAAATTAATAGGACTTCTATTTTTTTTTGTTTTACTTTTTTATCATGGATCATTACGTTATATAAAAGGTGCTACATCATGTCATCGTTTATTAAATGAAGGTCGTATTGAACGTTATCATGTTTGGCAACCAACAGGTTGTATGATACATTGGTATGATCTTCTTGATTTTAATCAATGTACACGTTTAATAACTCAATCATCATCAACAATTGATAAGAGTCTTATAGCAACACGTAAAGCATTTAATAATCGTATTGATCCAGGTGAATGGTTACGTACACGTAAACAAGAACAACAACGTTTAAAACAAGAAAAACAAGATAAAACAAAAATTAATTTTTCCTATACATTTATAGGTGATGAACGACTCTATATGATCTATCGTACGTTTATAAATACAATAAAATATCATTCAAATTTATCGCGAAAAAAACCATCAACAATAATTCGAGAAAAAGATCAATTAAAACAACAACATAAACAATATCCATTTATTTATAAACATGCGAAAAATTTAACATATACAAATGAAAATTTTATATTACAATACTATTCTGTTCAAACATTTAATGATTATTTATATAATTTATTATATTCATGGACAACAAATAGTTCTCTAAGACCACATGTACTTATTATTGGTCTTGGTTTATATGATGGTTTACGTGATAATGCAAGTTTAGATACAATGAAATATTTTGAAGGTAATTTAACACGTATTAAAAATAGTTTATTAACAAATTTAAGTTTAACAACAACTATATTTTGGTTTGGACAACCACATTTATCATTAAATGAACATTTATTTCGACTTCCACAACATTCATTAAATCAACAAAATGAATATATTAATGAATTTATACCAAAAATCAATTCCTATATTGATCGAATGAATTCTATAGCG